CCGGAATACGGAATACGGAATACGGAATACGGAATACGGAATACGGAATACGGAATACGGAATACGGAATACGGAATACGGAATACGGAATACGGAATACGGAATACGGAATACGGAATACGGAATACGGAATACGGAATACGGAATAGGAATCCGGAATACGGAATCCGGAATGCGGAATACAGGATACGGAATACGGAATACGGAATACAGGATACGGAATACGGAATACGGAATAGGAATCCGGAATACGGAATCCGGAATGCGGAATACGGAATCCGGAATGCGGAATACGGAATAGGGAATACGGAATACGGAATACGGAATACGGAGTACGGAATACGGAATAGGGAATACGGGATACGGAATACGGAATACGGAATAGGGAATACGGAATACGGAATACGGAATACGGAATACGGAATACGGAATAGGAATCCGGAATACGGAATAGGAATGCGGAATACGGAATACAGGATACGGAATACGGAATACGGAATAGGAATCCGGAAAACGGAATAGGAATCCGGAATACGGAATCCGGAATGCGGAATACGGAATATGGAATACGGAATACGGAATACGGAATACGGAATACGGAATACGGAATACGGAATACAGGATACGGAATACGGAATACGGAATACAGGATACGGAATACGGAATACGGAATAGGAATCCGGAATACGGAATCCGGAATGCGGAATACGGAATCCGGAATGCGGAATACGGAATAGGGAATACGGAATACGGAATACGGAATACGGAATACGGAATACAGAGTACGGAATACGGAATAGGGAATACGGGATACGGAATACGGAATACGGAATAGGGAATACGGAATACGGAATACGGAATACGGAATACGGAATGCGGAATACGGAATACAGGATACGGAATACGGAATACGGAATGCGGAATACGGAATACAGGATACGGAATACGGAATACGGAATAGGAATCCGGAATACGGAATAGGAATCCGGAATACGGAATCCGGAATGCGGAATACGGATTCCGGATAACTAGTTACATTCCCGGTTCCGGAACCCGTATTTCGTAAAATTTTTATTTGTCCGGATTCCGGATTATGGATTCCGAGAAAATTGTTTATACACATATCTGACTGTACTGTATTATTAAACAAAAATTTTCACCTGTTTTGGATAAGTTTGTTCCAAGTTATGAACGGTACTATTTCCGGCTACTCTATTATGCGAGACAAATTGCGAGACTTGCAAGACTCGCATGAAAAATGCAAGTCTTGCACGTGAAACGAGAAATTGTGAGCATTTGCGAGAACGAGACGAGCCAAGCGTTTATGCGAGACATGACAAGACGACGCAAGACGAGACAAAACAAGAAATTGCGAGTCTTGCAAGAAATTTCTCGCGAGACGACACTCTACTCTCTAGGAATCATTTCAATACGGAATACGGAATACGGAATACGGAATACGGAATACGGAATACGGAATACGGAATACGGAATACGGAATACGGAATACGGAATACGGAATACGGAATACGGAATACGGAATACGGAATACGGAATACGGAATACGGAATACGGAATACGGAATACGGAATACGGAATACGGAATACGGAATACGGAATACGGAATACGGAATACGGAATACGGAATACGGAATAGGAATCCGGAATACGGAATCCGGAATGCGGAATACAGGATACGGAATACGGAATACGGAATACAGGATACGGAATACGGAATACGGAATAGGAATCCGGAATACGGAATCCGGAATGCGGAATACGGAATCCGGAATGCGGAATACGGAATATGGAATACGGAATACGGAATACGGAATACGGAATACGGAATACGGAATACGGAATACGGAATACGGAATACGGAATACGGAATACGGAATGCGGAATACAGGATACGGAATACGGAATACGGAATACAGGATACGGAATACGGAATACGGAATAGGAATCCGGAATACGGAATCCGGAATGCGGAATACGGAATCCGGAATGCGGAATACGGAATAGGGAATACGGAATACGGAATACGGAATACGGAATACGGAATACAGAGTACGGAATACGGAATAGGGAATACGGGATACGGAATACGGAATACGGAATAGGGAATACGGAATACGGAATACGGAATACGGAATACGGAATGCGGAATACGGAATACAGGATACGGAATACGGAATACGGAATGCGGAATACGGAATACAGGATACGGAATACGGAATACGGAATAGGAATCCGGAATACGGAATAGGAATCCGGAATACGGAATCCGGAATGCGGAATACGGATTCCGGATAACTAGTTACATTCCCGGTTCCGGAACCCGTATTTCGTAAAATTTTTATTTGTCCGGATTCCGGATTATGGATTCCGAGAAAATTGTTTATACACATATCTGACTGTACTGTATTATTAAACAAAAATTTTCACCTGTTTTGGATAAGTTTGTTCCAAGTTATGAACGGTACTATTTCCGGCTACTCTATTATGCGAGACAAATTGCGAGACTTGCAAGACTCGCATGAAAAATGCAAGTCTTGCACGTGAAACGAGAAATTGTGAGCATTTGCGAGAACGAGACGAGCCAAGCGTTTATGCGAGACATGACAAGACGACGCAAGACGAGACAAAACAAGAAATTGCGAGTCTTGCAAGAAATTTCTCGCGAGACGACACTCTACTCTCTAGGAATCATTTCTTTTTGTCTTACTCTCTTGTCACCATTGATGCTTATGGTTCATTAAAATGATGAACTTTGCGAGCTGGGTTTCATGTTAAAACTACAATTTGAGCTTTATTTCGTATCTAATATAATCGTTGATTCTAGAAAAACTCTAACTAATGAGTCCCAAGATTTTTAAAAGAATATCTGAATAAGCGAATAAGTTATTTCGAGAGCCCGAAATCTTTCGTTCTGTAGAAACTGACATTGCCTTACTAGGGAACTATCTGAGCGGAATTCCAAGTTACAATTCATGACCTATATCATTAAAAAGCCCATAATTTTCTGATTCGGAATATGTTTTCTATTTTTGCGAAACGGCGGTGAGCTTCGAGAAAATTAGGTCACAAGAAATTTTAGTGCTGGTTAAATCTGTTGATTTTGCATTTAAAACCGTCTTGTCGATTTTCAGATAGTTCCCTAGTAAGTGTTGTACTATTCTGCGATAATCACATTTTTAGAAATATATATTCTGTATCTCTAACAACCAATTAATATTCATGACTTCCTGCTTCTTTTTTCACATGAAAAAAAGACAATTGAGATTTTTGAAAACTGACGAAGAGATAAAATACAGACACACAAAAAAGAATAGACACGACAACGGCGACGAGAAATCAAATAGCATTTGGAGATGATGTTCTTTCACGAATAAACGCATTTTTCATATCGAAAAAAGTTTTGTCACACACACATTAACAATGACAGATGATGGTGTTTCTAGTTGTCGGAGAGAAGAGAAGATGGGTAAAATATCTAACAGAACAGATGAAGGAGAACAGAATCAAAGATGGAAAAGCTGAGAGTGAGTGAGCAGAGCAGATTGAATGTCAGAGCAAATCGGAGCAGCAATCAAAACCAAATCGATAATCGAAATGAGAACCAGAGAAGACGCATCTGAATTTTGCGAAAATAAAATATATTTGAAGGCAGAATTACAGTACCTCATCGACGACCAGCTCCAGACAACTTGTTGAGGTTCATGCTCAAAAGACCGTTGATGAGCTCGGCGTTGGAGCTGAAAATTGAGAAAGTAATAAAAAGCGACTTGTCAGAAAATCTCTAAAGTCTGAATCCAAAATTTCGCAAAGACAAACCGTTTTCCGACTGCTGAGAGCTTGCCCAAGTCCATTCCAATGAGCCCGTTTATGAGTTCGGCGTTGCTACGCTTCACGAATTGAACATCGTCGTACATCTGAAAAAATTTCTATTTTTTAATGATTCTTCAAGATGTTGAATTGGCATGATGTGTCCAAAATTGCATTTTAAAATAGAGATTGGTAAAAAAGGAACATGTTCCACTACTACGTTCTAGGGTAATGTCCTATAGAAAACAAGACTATGAGACAACAAACGAACTACAGGAGCTTAACTCTATTCTGCTAGTTCCGTGCTTTTCTCAAATGCACTTTCGACCATTGAATTTTGAATTTTTTTCAGAAAACGAAAACAAGAAATCAAAAAGAAAGCCACCCCCCACGAAATGGTTTTGCAGGAAACTCGTCAGTTTCCGTCAAAAGAAAAACGACTAATCAGAGAGAAAAATGCCTTGGTTTTCGATGATTTTCTTTTGAGATTCCCATTTAGAAATTTATTGTCAAAAACTTCGGAAAAAGGGTAATTGTAAATTCATGTTTTGCGAAAACAATTAACACCAACTATTTTAAGACTTCAACAATTTCTTAACTTGTGGTTAATAAGTTGTACTAAATTGAAGCTCCTAACCTCAAAATTATATTTCGAATGACCTATTGAACGTCCAAGGACTACAAGAATTCCCCTAAAACCCATTAGAAAACAAACCTGTGGAGCTCTGTAGAGAAGTGGAGTGGCTGTGGAAACAGCACAGAGCACAGCGAAAAGGGCAATCATGGAAACAATTAATCTGTTCATGGTGACGAAAAAGAAGGCAGAGGAAGAGCTGAAAAGCTGAGTTCACTTGGCGGTGAGGCACAAGTCGAATCGAATGAATGGAGCACAAGAGCCTCCTCGTTTTCCACGAGTTGGCTCCTCCCACATCCCTTCTTGTCCGACCGACCCGACGGACGCCACGCCTACTTTCGAAAAACGCTCCGGAATTCGAGAAGAGATAGAGAGAAGGAGAGATTGGTTTAAAAAGAAAGGGAGATAAAAAGCTTGAAATTCTTCTGAATCATCCGACGTCATGGATGAGAACAGCTTAATGAAAATGTACAGAAACAAAAAAGAAGAAGTTGAAGACAAAGTGGATTTGGGAGAAAAATTAAGAAGATGAACTTAACGAACGAAGTACGTCACAATGACATTTCTAAACAAAACAATTTAGATTAGTGAGTGGGAGTACTGTAGACCTGAGTAGAACTGAGAACTTTTGGAAAATAATAATGAATAAAAGATGTGCTCTTCAGAAAAAAAAGAATCTGGAATTCAAAATGGAACTAAAGACTACATTATTCAGCTTGATTCTTCTCGGAATCATTTTTCCGATTGACATGAACTCTGACCAGAAACAGAAACTAATCCCTTTTCTTCTCATTTGGTTCTCATTTCCGTTTGTCTAATTAACTGAAAAAGGGGAATCAGAATCACAAATTACATTTGAAGTAATCCAGTATTCTGAAGCATCATTGGGACTATAATTCCTCTGAAAGTTTGAGCTTTTGAATGCCTTCACACATTCTTTTTTATGCAAAAAAGCCCAAAAATATTTTTCTAGCTTTCGTTTTTTCAAAGAAACAATAGAATTCTAGAATCGAGATGGAAAATAGAAGCCTTTAAAATACTCAACGGGGATTCTAGGTGAATTTGGTAGTTACATCATTCGTATCATTCAGAAAAATACTGGGAGTTTCCAACGATAAATGAAAAATGTCTGGTTTTAATAATGAATGAATACGGGGGAGAGACCAGAGGAAGGCACCGCGGTTTCGAGACTAAATAATGAGGAAGTAGCATGAGACATTTAGAATATCAACAACGCACTTTTTTTAGTTCCTAACAATTCATTGGCCAAGTCATTTTTCATCATGCATTTGGTGGAATTTAGAAACCGAGTTTGTATGAACTGGGAACAAATGAAAAAATTGATTTTGCAAGTTCATGAATACAAACGAATTTGTGATGACAATCAACATTCGAAGAAATCAGTTTATCGTAATATCCCATTTTAATGGGCCGGGCCCTGTCAGTTTTTGGCCCGTTTCGTCTGTAACTTTGTTCAAAGACAAGAAACTGCTTTTTTAATAGTATCATTTTGTAGTACTTGTCGAGTTCTATTATATCCAACTTAGTTGATTCAAAAATTATGATTCTAAGAAGTTATGGCAAGGACCGCGAAGACCCTCACATGGCCGGTTTGAAGAGATGCAAAATCTAACCTACCCGGTCCACACCGGCCGGACAGAGAGATTCGATAAATCTGGTGTATGAGAGTCTGATGAATAATCTCAACTGGGGAATCTAGTACTGACTCAATTAAATGAAAACCCAGGTGTTCTTCTTGTTTTTTTTTTCAGAAATCCGAATCAATTTAGGTGATTTTTCTTCGTTAAAAAAGCTATCCTATTGCTTTGATGACGAAAACCCTGACATTAAAAATCTAAAGGGTTTTCATAGATCATACTTCTTGAACTATTCCCTTCTATAATTTCTCTGAACTTTGAAATCGACTTCTCAAATGAATTCTGCTTTGGCAAACTTCAGATGACCCATCTCTTTACTGCTTGTGCAGATTACGACTCCTTCGACTTTAGCAGTTTTGGAGCGCGGTACTGAGAAAAAGATTCTCCATTTCCTTCTCTAAATCAAATTGCTTTTTCCTTTTTCCAAACTTTTGCATCTACCACTTTATCTTTTTTCTTTTTCTCCTGGCAAGTCATCTGATGGAGAAAGAGCTGATGAGGAAATCGGAATCGGAATATTCTTCTTAACGGGCAATGGATGTGTTGGAAGAAAGGAAAAAAGAAGACGTCGGTGTGGAAGAATGTATGTGTGCATTAGTTTTAATTGAATTGTTCCGATCGACCGAAGAGAAAAAGGATGAAAAAGAATAGGAAAGAAGTACCACACGAGGTTTCAGAAGAAGCTAACTGTGACGTCACACTGTGGCTAAATTCTACCCACGGAAACTCGGAAGCTTTGGATTTTTCACAAAAATCGTTTATCTTTCTAATTGTGTGCTGCAAATTTCGTATAAAACCGGAGTCATCATGACTGACAGCTACAAAAAGTGACGTTCATCTTCTGCAACGTTCCGATTTCACAAAAAGACCTGCAAACGCAAACTCACATGATTTCTAGAATCATTCCGAAAATTCGGAAGAAAAAGTATTCGAAACTCTGTCACTGACTAATCTCAAAAGAAAATGACATTTTTCTTTACGGAAAAACTGTTCCTAAGAAAAAGAAAATAGGAAAGATAATAATAACTTTTTAAAAACTGAATTGAGGGATTTGGCAAGAAAAATCTTTTGAAAATTTGAGTTAGTGTTGATTCAGGCCAGCGCATTTAAAAATACCAAATCTACACATTTCCTCTAATAGAAGCCAAGCCGACCTGTCAACTTCGAGCTCAATTATCTCGATTTGCCAACTGATAAAGTATTGATGATGTTATGGTAAATAACTTATCAAGTGACAAATTTTTGATATCAAGTGACAAATTTTTGGAATCGAGATGATTGACACCGAAATCGGGGCTCCGCGACGTTTCGAAAGACGACGTTTCGAAAGTGTGACGTTTTGCAAGTGTGACGTTTCGCAAGTACGGCAATTAATGCTTTGAAAGCTTCAAATATACAAAGCTCTGTTCGAAAAACCATTTAAATACTCAAATACAAGTTTTTGCTTTTTCTTTCATGCATAAAAGTGCAAAGCTGTTATTACTCTTGCCCGAAATCAATGCACGTTGCGGCCAAGAAAACAACGGTGGGCGGAGCTTAGCTTCCACAGAGAGAACCTTTCTGTTTTTTTCAAAGTATTGCACGCGCCTTTAACACAGTACCTCAATATTTATCGAATTTTTGCCTTTTTCTCTCATTTTTTCGCTTGTTTCACTCTAATTTTGTCTAATTCTTATAAATCTTCAATTTATTTTTCTTATAAAATAGAAAAAAACAGCTAAATATGGCCCAAAATAAAAAACGTCCGAGGTACGGTATTTAAAGGCACATGCATCAATTTGTTTTTTTCGCTGTGCGACCGACGATGCCATTTTGAGTAAATTTTCGGCCGCAACGTGCATTGATTTCGAACGAGAGTACTGTCTATTCAATAAAACGTGG